TTGTTTCATATTTCTTAGCCAATTATTCACTCATGAGAAGAGCTTCCCTCTTACCCTAAGGCAGGCCCTGTACCAACTGATTTTGTGATGAAAGATTGTTCCCCAAGGGGAAAAAAAAAAGGTTTTGCCCTTAGTCTATACTTTGGTTTATCATCCTTTTTATTTTCTGCATTTTGACTCAACCACCATTTTTAAGTAGGACTTCTTACTTTTAATAGCTTCCTTATCCTGATGTGAACCATACTGAGAATATTTTATTGTTGCTGCTGTTTTGTTTCCAAGTTTCCTCAAACCTTTAATTCAAAGGTAAGAGGCAGCACTTGCTTTGACCATTCGTGTGGAAACTTTCAATCTCCTGTCCTAAAAGCCAAAAGCATTTTAGGCTTTTGGCTGCCACTATAATCTTTTTAAATTTTTATTTATTTTTTTTTTTAAACAAGCTTCTTAATTATTTTTGTCACTCTTTTTTCAAAGGAGAACACCACATATTATGGCAATCTCATACACAGTAACAGCTCTTAGTAATCAGTCCTGGGAGTGGAGAGACCTGGTTCAAAGAGCTGCCTCTCCTGGGCTGTGTGACTAGTTGCCCCATAAAACACTTCTGCCTTTGGAACCACCCTGATCTCAGTATGTCCTTGAGAACTGCCAACCTGATTGAGCAATTCAACACTTCTATCAACTACGTTGCTTTGTCAAGTTCAGCCTAGAATTACAAGTCACAGGGATTCTTCATTGCTTAACTCATCCAGTTCAGTTCTTATGTCTTCATTCCACAGCAATATGCATGACTAATTTAAGCTTCTGTTTCCCTTATGTAATTTGTCTTTCTACTGGAACACATCTTGCCATCTCTGCTAAAAGAAGACCAAATATTTACAAGAGGCAGTTAAAAAAAGCAGGGGACTTCCCTGTGGATTGTGCTATCCTCCACAACCTCCTGTTTATAGTACACATGCCCTAGGAAAGCTCAAATGCTTGAATTTTGGCCACGTGGCAAGATGTGCAAAGGGCTAGACTGAGAAAGGGTGGAGAGTTGTCACAGCAATATTGGACAGTGAAGGCACCCAGAGGAATCTGCCATCTCCTCTGACCTGCTAGCAATGAAGAAAAGGGGCAGAGAAATGCCAAGTCAGCACTCCATGCTGATGGTTTAGATGAATCAAGACATCTACAAATTTCAGTCTATTTGACAGTTCCTGGTTGGAGAGCAGGAACAGCTTTAGTAATGTAGCTCTGACTTGCAGCAGTAGAACTGTGCTTTGGAGCTAAGCTCACAACTGGTGCTACTTATCACAGGCCAAGTGACCCCACTTTGGGTGTCAGCAGTGAAAAACTCTGGAAAAGCCACTGCTAACAGGGGAGCTGCAGGGCCAAGTACTCTGTGAGAATTACTTCTCAGGGTTATGTAAAAAGTGCAGAGTCCTTCCAGGCAGTTTGGTGGGTAAAGCTGCAGCCAGTATTTTCCCCATGCCAGTATTTTCTGGCATGGGGACACTGCTGAGGATTCCTTATGCAAAGGGGAACAGTTGACATAGGAGATTTTCTTGAAAGAGAAAGGACATGGGCAGGGCAAACTACTGGAGCAAGTCACAATCAAACATGCTCAAAGGTGGAGTGTTTAGATTTGATTCACTCAGAAGACATGCTCGTGGCTCCTGCTTGGCATTGGGAAGCTTAAAGGCTGTCAACATGGAAGAATAATCTTGCTAAGCTCTTATTATCAGTAGCAATGAAAATCAAGTCCCTGACATGGTGCTACAGGAGAAGAGATGGACACCAGTAGAGTCTGCTGTGAAGCCCTAGAAGAACATGCTGACATGGAGCTGGGGGATGGCTCTGCATGTCTCAAACAATACAAGAACACCCAGGATAAAGGCCTGTCTCCAAATGAAGACTTTAATGTGTTCAAGGAGCCCACATGCCACAATTCAGGTCTGCTGAGATGAAGCATGAAAGAAAACCTAGACACACTTAGCTAGGTCACTGGTCCTCTCCTCCTTTTGTTTTTGGTTTGTTTTTTTTTTCCAGCAAGGCTTACCAATGCTGAAAAAAGCACAGGGCAATTCTTTGAAATTAACAAGGCCTCTGAATATAAAATATTTAAAAAGCAATGCATCAAAGCAGCATTTTGCCAGCTTAACTTATACTGGCTGTAAGTCTGATTCACTGGGTTGATTATAATGGTTCCACTGGCTCTTGGACTGCCTGCCCTGCCAGCCCATCACTACTAGTAACTATTAGTAACAGACGCTCAAGAGGAGCTAAACGCAAGCTTAACAGGTACAGAGCAGGGTCTATCAAATGAAACCTGTCCAGTTTCCTTGACCTCTATGCTCTGAATGCTTTGCAGTCATATAAAAGCAAGTATTACCATAAGTTCTGTCCCTGCTTGGGTGCAGTGGTCTCGGTGGGAAGGTCTGCAGCAGGCAGGGCCCGGGGCAGCCTGCTCGCCCTGCCGGCGGCGCCCGCGCTCTTCCTCTTCTCTGCAAGAGAAAAGCACAAGCTGGGTGGGGTGTGTTCTTATCTGTCTTCCCCTTCACTGAGCAGGTGCATTTTGCAAAAACCACCCTCTCCAGTTAAGTGTTTACATTCAGCATCTAGGCCAGCAACACATTTGTCAAGGAAAACTAACCCAGGTTTGATCTGCTAAAGGTCACACTGTATTTATAGAAATAGAGGAAAAGATGATGGATTTTTAAAGAAATTACTGCATCATAAAGCACATTCATGCAACCAAAGCATTTCTGCTATTTCAGATACATAAAACTAGCATCACATTTCAGCTATATACTGACAAAGTACTTTGAGAACTGAACAAGTTGTAACTGGGATGTATTTGTATTTCTGAGCATCTTAGACAACAGTCGGATGTAAATTTAAATCTTTGCTTATTTAAGCCTTTGCTTAACACAAGCTCCAGAAGGAAAATGCTGAAATCTTGCACACCAGCTGGGTAAGTACCTGGGCAGCACTTGAGAAATTAATACAGCTGGCAGCAAGCTGGTGTGCAGGAACAGAGCTCGTCAGCATCTGAAAGTTCACAGAAGAAAACACACCCACTGAGAGTTACTGAACAGTGTCACCTCCAGCTCAACAAGTCACCATGACACAGATGGCTGGAAAGTTACAGTGAGATTCCTCATACAGGTTTGCCCTGTTCCATTCCTCTACAGATGTCTGCTCTGACCACTGTCTAAGACAAATTCCCACAGGTAGGACTCCCTGTTTTAACTCAACACAGCCTGTCACACACAGCACTGCTGTAGGTGGACTCAGTATCATCCCAGGATGTTTCAAAAGCAGGAAATGATCAGGACTGAAACTGCAACTAGAGTCAGACTGTAGCATACTCTTCTGCACCAAGAACAATTTTCACCTAGAAGTATTGTTTCCCTTCCCACAGACTGATTTTTGTGCAAGTCCATGTTCTGCCTGCAGTGCTCTACCACCCAGGCTCCTCAGCAGCCAGGCAAAATGACAGAGGAAACACTAGAACTTCAGCTGGTTGTTGCACCTCAACTGCACATTGAGTACAAGGTAAAGAGCAGGCTGAGAGGACATGTGCAAGGGGACTGTTTGCCAAAATAGCCTCAATCAGCAAAGCTATCAGTATCTAGAAGGCTGTCCTGCTTGAGACTATTTCAGGGTTTAATCCAAGAGTTTCACCACTGATGGAATGTGAGCACTGGGATGGACACCCTCACTGCCTGCAGCACACAGCTGTCTACTTGTCCAAAGAGTCTGGCACACCACACCTCAGCAGGCTCAGTGCAAACCACAGGGATTAGTCCCCAGCTAACATCACCCTGAGTGCTTTTAAGGAGAGGTGATGGTCCACAGCCCTTTTGGGGTGCACTGCAGGCAGTCTCAAGACCTGGAGCAGCAGGAGGGAAATCATCAGCAGCAGCAGCCTCGCTGTGTGCAGCGAGTTTAAAAAGGGCTTAGAACTAGAGTATCCCCATGAAAACATCCAGACCAGACACTTCCTCTCTCACATTCACAAATCCATGCTAACAGTCAGATGGCAACCAAAGAAACGCCCACAGAGCAGCAGGCTGATCATACCTCCTGGGCTGCAGTCCTTTTTCAAATCTTCTTTTTTCTGATGGGGAAGGATGAATTTGTAGTCTATACTGTCATGTACCCAGCCCTTCTCAATGAACAAGCCAGGAACCTCATCAGAAAACAGCCAATACCTGTAGGAAACATCCACATTAACAGGTACCTGTCTCCTCTTTGGGCTACAGTTACACACATGCACCTTTATTTGCACAGAGGGAAGAAGCACCTGAGTGTTTGACTCAGTAAGAACCGAGCGCATCTAAGTCTTGGTATTAGCACAGTTGAGCAACATGAAGGGCTTTTATTAGAATCCAATTTAAAAACAATTGTGCCCAACAAATGTGAAAAAGAGCCTGGTAACTAGGTTCTTGAGCACTGATGCAAGTACTTGAAGCTCTAGTCATCAGCAGATCCTGACCCTCACTGAAGACCTCAAAGAGCTGGCCATGTAAACCAGTGAAAGCCATTACATTCCACATACACAAAAGCCTCCCTTCTGCTCTCCCCCACCATTCAACACACAGTGAGTCCTCCCAGCACCTTCATATCAATCCCTTCTTAGGGACTGCCACCTAATAAAGCTCCTCTCAGGGGAGAGCTGGCAGCACAGGATCATTTCCTTGCCTACCTGTTATGATTTCGATCGGTGCCAATCGGGGTCCTGCGCATCACCAGCTTGGCTTTGGCAATTCCATCCTGGAAATTCTTCTCAGCTGCAGCTTTATGCTTCCGGATTCTTTCTTCCTCTGCCTCTTTTTCCATCCTCACTGTTGGAATTAGCACACAGAAGCATTAGGTTTCTTTTTATTTTCTCCAGACATCAATATTCTATTTTACTACACGATGGGGGTAAAAAAATAAAAAAGTTATTTGTAATTTTGGTAAAGATTCTTTAAGCACAGCCACCCATCCTTTATCCTGCTTTCCACCCACCATCCTAGAAAAAGCACAAGAATTCTTAAGAAGGCATCATAAGGATGAACTGGGCAGAGGAAAGAGGCAAGTTTCAATAAAAATTGACTGGAGAAATTAGTCCTTATTATTGTATCTCAGTCTAGATTAACAAAGTGGCATCCATTGCTGTGCAATCCCATTTAACAACAGGGTCAAGGATCTTTACCTGCAGCACAACAGACAATAAGGACTCCTGCTCTGGCCAGCTCAAGAGTTGGGAGTGGTCTGGCTGTGTCCCCTGAGCTCAGCATGGACGCCTGCACTTCCACACCTGCAGCTCTGGGGAACACTCTCCCCACAGCCTCACCAACCCAAAATCCTGCTCTGGCACCAGAGAGGCCTTTCCCAGCTACCCAGTCACATCTCCTAACACACTCCTGCATTCCCATAGCATTCAAATAGAAACCTCAGCTTTCCCACTCACAACAGAAGTATTGGCATTTCAGGAGCTCTCAATATCCATGGCTATTGACACAAAGAGGGGAAAGAAAATAGGAAGTGGCCTAAACCCTTGGCAACTTCTTGGCAAGCATCTTATAGAACAAACACATTACTTCACATCTCTAGGTAAGGAGGAAGAAGCAAGGCAGCTTCTGCCAAGGAGACAATCATTAAAGTCAGCAGGGTTTACACTTCTCATGATGGCTTAAGAGTCTCTCTACACTTCTGCTCATCTCTGAAGGACAGGTCTGCTTTCACCAAGAACTGTTTGAATAAAGAGGAACAAAACATCAAATTGAGCCACACTGGCTCTTCAGAACCTGATCTGTCTAACAAAAGCATCACCCCTCCACGACTTGCACAAAAGGCTATGGGCAACAGTCTCATGTGTCCTGAGAAAACCTGAGGGGGAAAAAGAAAAAGGATGAAGAAATTAAGAATTATCTTTGCATGACAAAAGAGGGATTGAAGCAGATGGAATGAGGCCATATGGAAGGGGTGAGGTGGAGTGGGGCAAGTAAATAGGGGCAGTACGTTGGCTGCTGTCCTAGGGAGAAAGGTAACTTCTTGCTAGGACGTTTCCCAGGGCTACTACCCACTCTTTCTCTTCCAGATTTTCTGAATCAAGACAGGTTTGATAACAGTTGATTAGTGAACACCTGTTAAGTCTTTGAAGTCCTGCCAATGTAATCAATCCGGCCAGATTAGAGGAGACATACTGAAAAATATATCCTTGCATTTGCTACACCAACCCGACTGATCAGCTTTTGTACAATAATATACCAATAATGTACCAAAAATACAGCCACACATAGTAACTGCAGCAGGGCAAAACTGTCCTGTTAATTCATACCTGCCAAACACAAGGAGCTGCATAATCTGTGTCTGTAAATATCAACCACACGAGCTCTTCCCATGTCCAAGCACTGAGAACAAGCAGCACCAGCTGCTCTCACAGTTCCAAATGTCTCCTGTTACCTACACCTCAGCCTCACAAACCACATCAGGAGACCCTTACTACAGGAAGAACCGTTCTCACCTTCCACTAGGAGACAGTGGTGATCCAATTTCCCCAGGATTTCTCTCCTTGATCCTTTTTTTAAGACTTCTTGCTGTCATTTCACACCAGCACAAAAGACATCCCTCCTCCTCAATGCCCTCCTCTCCAGAGCCAAGACCCCAACCCAAACCAGCCACACTGCCAGCAAATTCTTCAGTGCTCACACCATGGGATATGGTGGGCACTCCTGAGACAGGTATCTTTTGTATCCAACTGTAAAGCCTAGTTGCAGCAGGTACCATAAAGTGCCAGAACAAGGAAGAGGAAAGAATAGAACAGAAACTTGAATTTACTCATATGTCAAAACTGTTCCAACAACATAAGAACAAAGACCCCAAACCAAAAGGTTCCTCCCCTGCATCTCATTTGGAATTGTGAAGCTAGGCCCAGCTGGCACATTCCTCTCTCACAGCCTTCCTCAGCTGTACAGCTTCCAGCTCTCCATTCTCCTCCAACAGACTGTACAGGAGCTATTGCCCCATGGAGAGATAAGACAAAGAACAATTACTAAGTGCTGCACTGACATGGCAATGGAAGCAGCTTGACTTTCACTACCCAGAAAATACAGATACTAATCCTGTTATCTCAACAGGGAGTTCTGTATTGACTTCTTTTGAAGTCAAGAAAGAACAAAAAAAATACATTTGTGCTTTCCTACACTGGGTTCTTTTTTGAGCTGAGACTAGCTTGGCAGCACAAGCTACAACCTTGATAGCTTTAATTTGAAACAGGTTAGTGTTCCCAGTGTGACAGATGTTACCAGAGTGGTGAAAAAGAAATCTGTCTGTGAGATAGGTATCTGTGTACAAGTAAAAAAGTAGCTGCTGACAACACACCTATAGTGCAGTGGTTCATATATAGATATATATATACATTTTGAACCACTACACAACAGGTTTTTTGTCAGCAACTATTCTTTTACTTCCCTCAGAGATACCAACATCATTAAAAGCAAATGCAACTGAAGTGGTATGAAAGCCAGAACACTGAAAAAGCCCACAGAAAGCCTGTGTGATGGCAGCAGCACATGAATGCAGCTCTCATGGTGGTTGCCCAGAACTATTTTTCACATATTGAAAACACACCAGCCCACAAGTCTGAAGTCCTGAGCAGATCAGCTCTGAGCTGCTAATCCTGCAGCCCAAACTACTGTGCCCCCAACCTTAACCAAGATCTTTGGTAATTTGCAGGTACCTTTATGCCTGATAGCAACTGCTTAACCGGTCAAAGAAGCCCTGGATGCCTGAAATGTTGTGGTTTGTTATGTGGAAAGGAAGCAATATAATTAAAACTTTAATGGACAGTTTAATCCTTCCTTCCCTGCCAGAGAGACCTAGTTTTCCTGGTGGAGTCCAAAAGAATGAATTAAAACTTTCTCAGCACACAAGCCAAACAATTCTTACCTCCATCAATGTAATATTGCTTTTCTTCATATATAACTATTACAAACTATCAAGTAAGAACAAGAAGCAGCATCCCAAGGGGTAGTGTCCAAACTGCATTGAATTTTGCAGTAAAACTGTACCAAAAACTTGAACTTGCTATGAAACCTGGAGGTCTACAAGAACTGGGGCCAAAAGGCCATTCCACTACAGCATGTTAGATATTTGGTGTTCTGTTTTTCTGGAGAAGCAGGACAGCACTCCACATCTTCAGCAGCTTTTTGATACTTCTGAGATGAACAGTTCTGAACAGAAGATCTGATATTTACTTTCCTTGTGAGACATGGTTGTATCCAGTCCACTTACCTAAGTGTCTCAGGGTATCCCACATTACTTAACTACTGCTGGTCTCCTAGAACTGCCACTCCCAGATTCCAGCCAAAGCACATAAGCCAGCCTCCACATGGGATGCTTGTCCCTCAACTGTTTCAGAAGGGAAATAACACAGCCTAGATGTGCTATGCTGTCCAGCTTCCATCTGCCCAGTACCCACATTACAACCAAAAAGATATCTGTATTCTAATTCCAAAGTATTTTGCTATTCCTATTCCATACTCCTTAGCAAAAAGAACAACTTACACAGAGGTATCTAAAGTTTGGCATTGCAGCTGGTGATTTATAGAGGTTTGAATGGACAGTTTACATCTATTTATTCAATTCCGTAACTACTTCTTTAAAGCGAGGAACTGAACTGCAATTTACTGCAGAAGTCCTTGCCTGGGAGAAGGGCTGCTACCATCAGCCTGGCACTGTGCACAGCAGCAAAGCTGCAGGAATGTGTTTTAGGGCAGGAATTATCTCCTCTGCATGTAAGAGTCAGAAGATGCTTGAACATAAATAATGTTTTCTATCCCCAAAACAGATTTTTCTGTACTCCAGTCTTCCCAGGCCTGACAGAATAGAAAGGTACTGAACAGGACACCCACAGATAAAAATCCAGCAGCAGCTACTGCTTTTTCTTAACATTCCAGTTTTCAAGCTGCCATAGAAACCACAGCAGCTCAATTACACTTCTCCAGTGAATAAAACTCCTAAGAACAGGTGAGGCTTTTGAAAACAGTCTGTCACTTTTACCATTAACTTATTCCCCTCTACTTTCCTGCTATTTTTATTACCTCTCATTTGTATTTCTTGTTGCTCCCTCTCTTTCTTGGCTTGGATGGCCAGAAGGCGCCTGCTCTTCACAGCACTGATCATATCAGCCTCTATTTCTGCCCGGTGTTCTGTTTTCATCATCTCATTTTTTTTCTTTTCATTCCTTCCCATCACACTCTCATCTTTCCCGTTCTCCTTGTTTTTGGCCACCATTTCCTTTCGTTTCTGTTTTTCTGCCCTCTTCTTGTCATTTTCCTCCTTCAGGACAGCCAGGCGCTCCTTCCACAGCTCGGCTGACGCCTGCTGCTTGGCCTCCACGTGGTCCTGCACCGAGTAAGTCATCAGGATCCGGTGGCACAGAGCTCCAAGGATCCGCAGCTTCTCTTCAGGAGTCAACTCAAAGAACTCTGCTGTCTCCAGTTTCTCCAAGAACTCATCCTGGACTTCATTATCCTCAAAAGCTGCTGAGTCCTTGTTCTCGTCCACGTTATCCGAGACCTCGCTCTCCTCCTGCACGTCTGACTTGCGCAGGCACAGGCGAACCAGCTCCGAGGCAGAATGCAAAGTCAGGGGTATTTCAGAAAGCTTCATTCCCAGCTCAGCATAATCTTCAGCAATTTCATCCTGCAGCAGGGTCTGAAGGAGAATGACCAGCACTCTGTTCAAATAAAGGAAGCCTCCCTTTTCTGCACAAAGTGCTTCCATCAGGGAAACTGCCGTAATGGGATATTGAGCATCAGGCATCAACAACCCTGAGTAGCAGCTCAGGAACTCCACCACCATGGCAACATCCCCAAAGAGCGTATTAGGAAGTCCTTCTGGAGTATCAACCAGTTTAAAAGTAGGCAAGGTCTTCCCTTTCAATTCTTGGTCCTCAAATCTTCTCTGTTTTTCCAGTTTTTCCTTCATCTCCTTCTCCTTCCGCTCCTTTGCTCTCTCCTTCAGTTTCTCTTTCAGCTTCTCCCTCTTCTTCTTCATGTACTCCTTCCGCTGCTCCTCTGTCATGGTGGCCCATTTCTTCCTGTGCTCCAGAAGCTCGTAGCGTTTCTGTACTAACCCCCTCAAATCCTCAGGGAGACGGGCACGATCCTCATTTGAGAGCAACCTGGCTGTTTTGGAGATGATACAGGAAAGAGCACTTTTTTTGTCTTCCCTGTCTTTGTTTTCTTTGTAATAGGCAATGAGATGGAGAGCTGCAGGAGGGAGATGTTTCTGGGGTTTGCTGGAAGACCTAGGGGTGCCTCCAGAATTCCTGGGAGACCTGGACACCTTAGTGGTACCTTTAGCCATGTCCAGCAGTGTCATTTGTTTCATTTTCATCTTAGGGGTCTTCAAGCCTTTCCTAGGAGATTTTGATTTCCCTGGTGACTTCTGCCCATTCAGGACCCTTTTACCTCTCTGCTTTTTGTCCAAGGATTTGTCGCTGTCCTTCCCCAGACGGCTCTTCTTTGGAATGTGAAAGTTGGAACCAAGTTTAGCAGGTGACACAATTTTCATCACCTCTTCCAGTTCCTCTTTAGGACTTTTTGAACTCTTAGAGTTTTTCATCTTCAGGGGAGAGGCAATAATAGATTTTTCCAAATGCACGTGGCACCACAGAGTAGGGCTCAGTGTTTGGGCCAGGGATGACCCATCAGCTTTGGATTTCTTAGGAGGCTTTCTGTCAGGTGATCCAGAGCTCTTCCTCTTGGTTGAGGGGTTGAGAGTCATATACTAAAATAAAGAATGATTTTATATTAGTATTTAAAGGTAAATAAAGGTGGTCTAGATCCTTTTCTGTGCATTATTTTTGCCTATGTTTATTTTCAAGGCATTTTTCCAATGAACTAGGAATACTCTACATGTTAAAGGTAACAACAGTCTTCTGAAATACTTTCAATATTCTGCATTGTAGTCACTACATTGGTCATGAAGTCATTAACTCACTACAGAAAGTTCACATTAAACTTTACAAAATGAAACACTACACAGAATATTAAATGCTTCCTGCTACATTACATACAATAATTTTGTTTCCACCTCAAAGCTGGTGCAGAAGGGGTTTGCCTGGAAAACCCTGACATTGATTTCAAAAACTCTCCCCTCTGCTCAGAGGTTTCCTACTGGGTCACATAGGGTTCGTTCTGGACCTCACCCAGAGGAAAACTGAAGGAGCACAGAAGTGGTGGGTGACAGGAGTTCAGAGTTTGGCTTCTGAACTGCCTGAAAGCACCTGGAATGCAAGTGAGACAGGAATCCACCCTGCAACAATGCAACTGAACATCTGACTGGCTTTAAGCTGCTGAAATAACCTACCTGCCAGCACAGAACAGTTCCACCCAGAGCCAGAGAGAGGCTGATTTCAGGACCACCTTGGCATCTCAAATTAAGCTTTAGGATGCATCCAGAATACTAATATATTTCAAGAAGTGATACAAAGATATCACCTTTAGGTTATGGATAAATTTACCAGAAAAGAGGCTGAACACTTGAGATCCCTTAGCAATAAAAAATTCTAGTGGCATGCACAGCAAAAGGTTCAAGCACCTAAGAAGCATTTCTTTCAGAACAAACATACACAAATGTGATCAAGTTCAATATTCCCATTTTCTGACTCACTGATGTTCACTCCTGGAGGCTTTAGCTGGAGAGTCCCTGTTAGTCCATTATGGAAACTTTTACTGGAGATTGCACAACCACCAAATTCAGTGCCTGCATAACTTCATTCTAGAAAAATTCTGTGTTGAAATCTTTGCTGAAGAGAATGACCTAAGCCAAAGGCATCCAGCTTTGAAGTGATTCATGTAATTCATTATTATATCAGTTCTGCAACTTATACTGGATACCCAACTGTCACTTATACAAAGTTATGTTGTCAGAGCATAAATTCTGGATTAATAAATTCTCCAGGCACTTCTCAAGACTTAAAAACCTCCAGATAAATTCAATCTCTATTCCAAGTGGAAAACACTCTACCAAACGTGCCACCCCTAAGCATAAGGCTAAAGGCTCCTGTATGTCCAACTGAAGATGTCACATTTGTGCATTTTCTTCTTATGCTAAGGGCACAGCTCTATCCATCAGAGCACTGAATAAAAGACTTTGTCCACCACCAGAAATAGCTCTATTTCTATTAAGGCAGTGACCTCAAATACTACAGCAAGGGTAAACACAGCTCAAGATTGAAGAATTTCTTTTTCCCTTTAAGCAGATTTACAAGCATCCAAGAGAGTCCACAGAAGCTGGCGAGAAAAGGGTGCTCTGCTCCTGATGAGGAAAAAGGGATACAGCAAATATTTCTCTTCTGGTTTTAGAACAACACTTGACAAAGACTGAGTCTATGACAAAGGGAATTTACTAAACAAACAAAATAGTGCTTTCTGCACCCAAAGATCCACGTTAAAACAGATTTCATGATGTATTTATTTGATTAACAATATATTTAGCTGGTCAGTACAAAGAGCAGGAAAAAAACGATCCCTGCTACTTAAACATCTGTGGTATCTTCCATCTCTCAATCCAGCACCACATAAGACCCAAGCATCATGAAATCAAACAGCTCTTTTCTGCAACCATGAAACTGCCCCAATAACTGACCTTACCAGGTAAGGACTACAGCCCTGCCATTTGTCCTGCACCAGAAAACCTTGTCTTCCCTTGTAGACTGCATTGTTCTAAGTTGATGTAAGCTTGGGAGCACCAAAACCCAACTGGCACACCAAAGCCTCTGCCAAGGCTGTTTAAGGGTGGGGAACGGGTGAGAAAGCAAAGGAGGTACTTTCAAGAGCTCTTACCTTGTGTGGGTCAAGCAAGAAGTCACTAAATTTACTGGGGAGAGAGTATTTCTTCACTAACTCATCCTCCACGACCCACGGGGCATTCTCACAGGTGCCAGCCCGCAGCGCGTTGTGCCGGATGAAGTACCTCAGGATCTCCTTGTTGGGAGGACGCTCTGTACGGACCAAGCTATCTGCTGGCACGTTGCTGATGATCTTGGAGATAACAGACAGACAGACTGTCAACATGTAGCTTCTAACCACATTATCAATACATATGACATGGCCAGAAGGAGCAAGGACCATTGTACTGCTTCATGTCCTCAAGCTCTTCACTCTTTCAAAGGTCTCTTGCGAAGACTCAATACAAACCAAACAGGACTTGTAAAACTGAGATGCACAACTGGGATTGGTAGGAGATTCACTCAGCTAAGAGAGTAAAAAATATTCATTTATATAGCAAATTTCTTGCTAAAGCCCTCTGCTTATCTCTGACTTCCCTCTGGCTTGTGCTTGCTAACTTAAAAGCTCTTCCATGTTAATGTTTATTTTAATTTGTTTTGTGAGACCAGAGGAGTCTCTGCAGGCTGCATCCCCTGAACTTAGGCCAGCACTGCCCCTCCTGTCAAACTGGCAGGAGAAATCACAGAGCAGTGCTGCAGACACTGAGCTTCCTGACACACAGCTCTCAGAGCAGCTCAATTAGAACACCAGCAGCACCTGCTGCTCAGGATTAACTAGTCTATCTTTGACCAAGCCTCATTAACTACCTGACCAGAGATTACCAGTTAACAGCACCCACTCTGAAGCTACTGTATCAGTGACTCAGTATGTGGTACCAGGTGTCTCCAGGCACAAAACCCATTTATTTACAGAAATAGCCAGGCTAGTCAGCCTCACAGACAGCAACAGCCATCCCACTTCCAACACCTGACTCCAGCAGAAAGTACAACAGTGTGCTGTACAGACACACTGACAGGGATTACATTGTTAAATTAGCATGTTCATTTTGTAATAGAAAGGACTCAAGTGGACAACTCACCTTATCTTCATTTTTCAGTTTGACATCATATTTGTGTGGCAGGAGTTTTGGTGGAACCCACTTCCTTTCTTCCTTCTTCAAAGAAGTGGGAAGCTTCCGAGGGGACCTACGTGCTCGGTCGTCTGACAAAGCAAGATTACACATTAAGTGTGTCAGTATTAGAGTGCAAAAAGCAATGATTAAATAATCCAGACCATTGCTGGACTGGGCAACCCCCTCCACATACCATGCTATCCTACTGGTTAAACTAGAACATCAGGAAAAAATTCCAAATCAGATTATAGAAATATCCTGCAGATGCAGGCTGGGAACAGAGTCCCTGAAAAGCTGTAAAGTAGGAGGCAACACCTATCTTGGAGGGGTATGAGGGACCACTTACAGCATTTAAATCCATTCCTACAAGCAGTCAGCTGCAACCACCTGTACAAAGGGAGAAACGATAAAACTAATGAAGGGGACACAGGTTTCGTAACCTGACTAGGAGCCTGCTTGGGGAGCTCCTGCCCAGAGTCCCAGCTGTCTCTGCCATAACTCTACTGCAGGACTTAGTGATCCTAAATTAAACTAACTTTTAAAATAATTTAACTTTAGTGGCCATTAAGTGTTTTGAAATGATGAGTTCTACATGTATGGGCTAGTTTGGCTGGAGATCTTAAGCATACTTATACAAACAGTCTTTTTATTCTCAGAGATGTAACTGAAAGACTACAAAGGCATCACACCTTGCCAGCTGGTGTTGAGTCTATTACATCTATATTCAGGTTGCAAATGGCAATCACTTAAGACAAAATCCAAGCTTACCAAAGAAAACAATCCCCAAATGTTTTTCTGTTTGTGGCTACGACTCAAAGAAAACACTATAGCAAGCATGACAGGTGAGAATAATTATCTAAGAATACAGAGAATACAAGTAGATGTGAGACCTAAGTCAGACTTTTAAATATATAATAATTCTCACATTGCAAGCCCTGGAGCATTTCAGCTTCATTACAGCTTACATGGTATCAAACCAAGTTCTGGCTTTCCAAAATCAGTCACCTTGGCTAGGGAATAGCTCACAGGTGCTATGGGCTCCCTGCACACGTTGTGCAGCTACTTCCCGTGGTAGTGCCACATTTCACATTATGCCCTGTAGAATTCTCTGCTCCAAGAATCATTATAGAAGTTTTTTTTAAAATAAAACCCCCTAAATTTCATAACCATGATAGTATGTGTGAAAGGAGACTGATCCTCTCATCCCAAGTCAGGCTGAGCCATAACTATTGTCTGCTTTGGTTCCACATTTGTATTAAAGAAATCTTGGTAAGTTTAAAGATGCTGAACTGTTTTTTCTGCTCAACAGCACAATGGAAGATGATACAAGACACTTCAAGCTCTGTAAAAGATCTGCTTTCAGAGATCAGCCCAAACGCCCTTTAAGGAGCTGAATGTTGTATCTGCTGAATGTGTGTAGGTACAGCAAGTTTATAATTAAGAAATAACAATGTGCTGCTTAGTCCTGGCTCTGACTTTGAAGGCCTCAGGTAAAGTGCTGCCTCTGCACCAAGCCTGTGAGGGACATCTCCTCATGTGAGCTACTTTCTAGATCTAGAAATAGGGATGACAACACTGAATTCCATCAAACAGCACCTGGATCCCTGGGAGTGGGGAAGCAGAAATCACTACACATTCCTTCCTAAAATTATTCTACAAAAAGCATACCTCATTTGTTGCTGCATTGCACTGTAATAAAACTTACTTTCACTACACTGCTGGGACCTCATAAAGCATCCATATGCTGTTGTCTCCTTCTATTCACCACTCATTTTGGGTTTTCCAAAGCAGTGTTAGTTCCGAGTACAGCTCAAGCTGCAGAACCTGCCTTCAGTAGTTCAAGATCCATTTTCAGGACAAACTAGCCTTTCCTCTCACTTCTGCAGTTTCCAGAGTTCACTCTCTAAGCAATTAGAAATACAAAGCCATTTCAGACTGCACATTTGATACAATAAAGCTGGTATAAAGTCTTAATTTTAGCTTCTGAAGCTGAACAGACTCGTAACTAGAGACTGAGGCTCTTTCTTTGCCCATGTTTTCCCTCCACAAACCCAGCACGTTTGTCAGTAGAAATGCCCAGGTGAACTCTGCCCCCTCGTGTGTGCAGGGAAAGATGCAGCTCTCAGATCCCACGATTATCTGCAGAGCCTGTCCCTGCTGCTAAACGCTCCCTCCTGCACAGTGACCTCAACCTGTCAAATATGCAAATTATTAGAAAGAAAACCTCCGTCTCAGCACCTCCAGGCACAGCACTCAGCCTCCTGCAGGTGCCTGGATGAAAGCAAAGCCTTTACTGCTTGTGTAGTTGCTGGGTAGACGTAACAAATGCTGTGTAGTTCTTTCAAAAGACTCGGATATAAATCCAGTAATGAGTTCATTATTGCCCTGTGTTCTGTTCTAACTGAGAATATAAAAGGATTAGCAACAGAACACCCTCCCTGCTGTGACTGATGATGACCTTCTGGCTCTGCTGGCATCTCTGACTTGAAAATGTTGAGGTTTGGCTTTTACAAAAAAGGCTGGGGAGCCTCAGGTTACAGAGACAAATGAGGATGAGAAGAGTCAGAGGCTTAAAAGACACAGGATTCCTGGGTAGGATTCCCCATTTCTGCAGCCTTCTTCCACTCTTAGAGTGCTCCACTGGCCCTGTGGAGCACAGCTGCACACAGCTGGCTGGAACACTGCACCAGCCAATGGTATCTTGTGGTACACTTCATACTAAACACACAAGCTCAAAAATGCTGCTGTAAATTTGCTCAATGAGTGCTTTTCAACGAAAAGGGAGTTCCCATTCCTTTTACAAGTCTCCCAAGAAGAAAGAAAAGCATGCATTAGTTCCCCTCCAAGCATTGCTGCTGTTCCAAAGGATGATTATAAAGCCAGATTGTTTCTGCAACACATTTTTCCCCTTCCCAGTTATCCAGAGCACTGAAATGAAAGCAAAACAGCTCATAACTTTTTCCAGTACCAATCATAAAGAGCTGACAATTATTAAGCTTGGGACTAGAGCTTGGTACAACTTGTTTTCCCCTCTTGACTTTGTTATTAGTTCACTGGGTTGTTTTCTGAGTTTTCACATCTCTGTATTAAGAGTTTACCAACACCTTCCCCAGATCTTGGAGTGGCTACAAATGTAAACAGTTTATTTCATTTATGTGCCTTTAAAATGAAACTATCCAGACTAGTTATGCTGTGGGGATGGTTTGTTGTTGGTTGGGATTTTTTTCATTTAAAACACTTTTTGAAATACCTTATAAAGAATCTTAGAATTCAATTTTTGAGAAGTTGCAAAGGACCTGAAACTAACTTTTTTTTTTTTTCCTCTTTCACCAATACCTTCTCAGAGTCAAGAAAAGACTTTGACACCCACCATTTAGCTCTGCAGCAAGGAGGAATAGATATGAAAGAGGAGAACATTTCAAAACATGCTTTATTTTGAATCCTTATAAAACAATGTGGAGTTTTTTCTGCACAAATTTTGTCTGAGCATTTGAAAATGGAAAATATCTTGGTTTTTATGTCAAATGGGAACATGGAAGAGAATTAGAGCTTGTCACTGACTGCAGAACAACAGGCATGAGAAGTAGAGATGTTTGTTCTGAGGATGAAAATATCAGCAGAGCTTTATGATAATGCATGAACCCTTGTTGTTCTTTCCCGCCTCCATTTTTTTAGTACACTTGTTATAATCTGGAAGCTTCTATGTTTCATGTAGAGTTTTCAGTATCACACCTTAGAATGACAGCACACTTTATTTGAAACAGAGAGCAAGAAAGAACAGTTGACAGATGAGCACCACTGCCACCAAAGCTGACACATTACAATGACAAAGCCAGTCTGTGACACTGTTTAAACATCCCAGAACCACAGGACTGTTCTGGCTGTAAAAGACCATTAAGATCATCGAGTCCAATCATTAACCCAACTCAATTGAGTCCAGTGCTGACCCATGTCCCTCAGCACCACAACTACATTGTACTCCTGGAAAGAAATTTCCTGTGCCACGGCCGTGCAAGGAGAGTCCTGGTGCTTTCCATCCCAGGTGGCCTTGCCCTGCTCTCTGGTGTCATGGCCTGTGCTGACGGGCTCCCAGTGCTCCTGGCAGCAGTAGGAGATGGAAGAGAAAACTGCAACCTGCAGCTGCACTGCTCAGGCAACGTGCCTGGGCTCTCTGGCCTGCAGCCCTGCCCTCCTGCTGGAAGCTGCCTGGCACAGCCTGGGGTGAGAGCACCCTCTGGGGCCCAGGAGAAGGGGAAGCAACGAGCCTCTGCATTTCTCAAATGGCTTCTTCTAAACACCTAAACCACAGAATCGTTCTGGTTGGAAAAGACCTTGAAGATCATAAATCCAACCATTAACCCGACTCCAGTGCTGACCCATGTCCCTCAGCACCACATCCACAGGGCTTTTAAACACCTCCAGGGATGGGGATTCAACCACCACCCTGGGCAGCCTGTGCTGCTGTTTAACAACCCGTTCAGGGAAGACATTTCTTCTTATATCCAATCTAAACCTCCCCTGGAACAACCTGAGAGCCTCCCATGTGACATTCACAGCCCAGGCCCAAGATGACATCCATTCAAATACTCACTGCCAGGTGCTACCTCCTCCCATGCTGGCTTACTACTTACTCATACTCTCCCTCCTGTTGTCATCCTCCTTCAGGATGGCTTCCTTCTGGTTGTCCTGGGCTGCCTGGCTGGAGTTCTCCTTGTCACTGGATGGGGAGTCACAGGCTCCATCTGATTTCTTTTCTGAGGCCTCTTCATCAGCTTTCTCCAGGGGATGCATTTTCACAACTTTCACAGGCAGCATCTTCTCCTTACTAACCTGCACAGAAATATTGATGAAAACTAAATCTAAGCAAGAAAAGTGTAATCAAGAGCTTTTACACTACAAAGAAGGAAAAAGACAACTAAGAGCACCTACAAATTTGGCAGAACACTTAACTGACATCCTCCTTGAGAGAAGCTCATGATCCAATTACAGAATTTCTTTCTGCTTTTTCTTCCTACCTGGAAGTTCTGCACAAATCACTTAGAAATGTAGAACTATGTTTAATAATTCTGCTTTCTCAGTGCAATGCAAGGGAGTGTGTGCAAGGTGCAAGTGTGCTCTCTCAGCAGCCCCAGTTGACACAATACATCCTGAACAGATTCCTAACAGAGAACATTGTATAACTTTCTCTTATTTTTAACAAGTTTGAGTTTTCTCCATCATGCCTAGTTTTGGAGGGAAGTTTCCTATCACTGGAGCATTGCTAGAGATTTGGAAGCAGTTGATTTCATCCTACACTACTTTAAGACTACTGCTTTTTCTGGGAAAGTTGGGTGAAAACATTTATGTGTGATTATGGCTGTGGATGTTGTCTACCTGGTTTTTGAGAAGCCTTTGACACCATCTCCCGCAGCATTCTCATGGAAAAACTGGCTGCTCATGGCTTGGATGGGCATGGTGTCTGCTGGATCAAACACTAGCTGGACAGCCCCAGAGAGTGGTGGGGAATGGAGTTCAATCTAGCTGGTGGCCAGTCACTAGTGGGGTTCCTCAGGGCTCAGTGTTGGGACCACTTCTGTTCAACATTTTTATCAATTATCTCAATGAGGGCACAGAAATGCACCCTCAGTCAGTTTGCAGATGACACCAAGTTGGGTGGGAGTGTTGATCTGCCTGAGGGTAGGGAGGCTCTACTGTAGAGAGAGACTGGGATAGGCTGGATGGGTGGGCTGGGGTCAATTGTATGAAGTTCAACAAGGCCAAGTGTCACATCCTGCTTGCGCCACAACGACCCCAGGCAGTGCTGCAGGCTGGGGACAGAGTGGCTGGAAAGTGTCTGGTGGAAAGGGAGCTGGGGGTTCTGACTGACAAGCAGCTGAACATGAGCCAGTGTGTGCCCAGGTGGCCAAGAAGGACAATGACATCCTGGTCTGTATTAGAAATAGTGTGGCCAGCAGGACCAGGGAAGTGATCCTCCCCTTGTACTCAGCACTGGTGAGACCCCACCTCAAATCCTGTGTTCCATTTTGGACACCTCAGTACAGGAAAGACATCAAGGTGCTGAAGTGGGTGCAGAGAAGAGCAACTAAGCTGATGAAGGGCCTAAAGAACAAGCCTTATGAGGAGCAGCTGAAGGAACTGTTTAGTTTGAAGAAAAGGAGGCTGAGGGAAGACCTCATCACCCTCTACAACTGCCTGAAAAGACATTGTAGAGATGCAGGTGCTGATCTCTTCTCACAAGTATATAGTGATAAGATAAGAGGGAACAGACTAAAGCTGCACCAGGGGAGGTTTAGGCTGGAGATTAGGAATTTTTTTTTCTCTGAAAGAGTTGTCAGACATTGGAACAGGCTGCCCAGGGGGGTGGTTGAGTCACCATCCCTGGATGTGTTTAAAAGTCATCTAGATGTGGTGCTTGGGGACATGGTTTAGGGGCAAACACAGCAGAGTAGGGTTAAAGGCTGGACTTAATGACCTTGAAGGTTTTTTCCAACCTAAATTATTCTATGATTCCAATTTTTAAACCCAATTAAAATATGTATTTATATATATTTAATACACACACAGACCATCACATATGTAAGTAGTGTGACTAATACATGTTTAGTTCCACACACACACAGATCAGTCATTTTTCTCTTGCCATCAGTGTGGATTATCCACGTGCTCCTGCTTAAGGAACTGTTTTGCACCCAAAAGCAGGTTCTGTCCCTGGGATTCTATAGAAAATAAATTCTCACTGGTAATATAAATGGCTAACACATTCTCCCCATCTCCTGCCTTTAGACATCCAAAATTAGCTCTGCACAAAAGCTGGGGATACAACAAAAACAGATCCTTACCTCAAAGTCACACTCTTCTCCTACTGCAAATTTGGTCATGATCTCCAGCCAAGCTGCATCCACCAACTTGTCCAAAGATACAGTGTTGTGGTGGACTATTTCCAGTACCAGTTTCTCATACCAGATGGGGAACTCCTCCTTCAAGCTGAGCAAGCACAGAAGATGTTTTCATTATTCAGGGAATAAAAGCCAAAATGCAAAGTAACCTCCCATTTCACAATTCCAAGAACATTAACAGCCAGGACAATGTTTGTGGCAGATGCCACATTAGCATGCAAAGATCCAAGGGCTTTTTGGTGCCCTCCTCCCAGCACCTTCCCAAAGTATTAATTGCCATGCCAATACAATTTGTACTTGTCCTTCCCAGAAGGAACACCATAAAGCCTTCTGGATGAGCAGCCCTGAGGGTGAACACTTTCTTGCTGGTTATTCCTGCCTCTCTACTAGATGCTAAATATATACCAAGATCATGTCATCACTCTGAGGCTCATTACTTTAAAATTTTTGCTTCCAACAGTAACAGGATGCTGAGAAAGATTTAGCATTTCCTTCATCTCAGACTGCTAACACAGTAAAGGAGACAGAGGCAGGCTTACACAATCAAATTATTTTTCCAGAGAAAAATATTGTGTGTTTCATGACATGATCTTCAAGCTTTTTTATCCAAAGAAGAGAAAGGACTGTTACAAATTCTACCTGACTGATCTCCTGTCTAAAAGACCAGGTCCATTAGCTGACAGGGGTACCAAGTAACACTATGTAAAGCTTTCTGGCTCAAAAGTAAATTGTGTTTCAAGTTACTTTAAGGAGAAACAAAATAATCCATTTTTCCAAAACGCCTGCAGCTTCTCAGACTTTGGGATCCATTGCTGATCATCCTCAGCTATTTGTGCTGTTCTACAGCTGCCATGAACAAATTTATCCCTTTAGCAAACTGCCTAGATGAACTTCCTTATATTCAGACTTGTGTCAGGTATTACAGCAGCCACAAACTGCCTGGGAAGTTTTTAATCCCATTTCTGAGAGACAAGTGCAAAATCTCATTTCACAGAATCTTTTTTTCCCCATATTTAGAGACACTAACTACATTGGTTATTGAGAGATTTTCTATTTATATTTCATTTACATATCAATAATTCCAGAAGTGGCCAACCCATCCAATGTGGTTAACCAAAAGTAATCTACACCAGAACAGTGGGTTTTGACTCAGGATTTTAAGTTTATGGAGCTGGCTCTGCATCCTCCTCTCAAACAACTCAAGGGAGGAAAGACTAAAGACAGGAATCCTTCAGCCCTCACAGAAATTAGGACTATCAGCCAAGAGCTTTATTTTTTGTTGCCTTTAAGGATGTGATTAACCTCAAATGATGGGGAATTTCTCCTTAGGCTAAGGCTATTCACTCTTTTGCCAATTAATCAGAAATGTGGATTCCTCATGAAAGAGGCAGCAGAGCATTTCACCTCTCAGACTGCTGATAAAACTCTCATCTCAATCCTGGGGAAAAATAAGCCACAGAAGTCCAAGTCATCAGTTCACAGAACAGAGAAACCTGCCATTTGTTTGGTGTCATCCCTGTAACTTGGTAATCACAAAGCAAGTTATATTTGTTGGCTGAGCCAAGGACTTGCACCTTTACAGAAAATCTACCTCTATGGTAAGAATCACTCTGAATCTCAGCCAAGGACTCAGGGCCTGTGCTGGGTGTGAGGGGGAGGTCAGGGACACAGCAGCCCCAAGGAGCACTGGTGGCCTGAACAGAGTCATAACTCTTGCTCGTTTCCCTTTGTTCTTTACTGTTTCAAGTAGAGCAGCTCCCCAGAAATCTCACTCCAAAATACTTTTTTTTTTGTTTAGTACCACAATACAGATCTAGAAAAAATAATTACAGCTGTGGACCTGGCAGATGTGAAACACTTCAATGACCTCTTCCTAATTCAGTGCCTTGATGTTTTATTTTTCCCCCTCTGAAAAACTCCGATTACTCAAGGGGCTTCAAAATATGTCAAGTAACATATGCTGAATTATTTTAACTCAAGTAATACTAAGATACAGCACTAAACAAGTGCATTACTCAACTACATTAGTGATAACATCAAATTTGGACTTGATTTGCTTTTAACTCCAGAATCCCCAGATCTGTTTACAAGATGCTTGCCTCACCTCATCAACCAGCAATCACAGTTCATTCCCTATCCACCCTTCTGCCCCAATACCTAAAGATAAGACCCACATCAATTTTTTTCACTGGTACTTACAGCTCAGCAACTTCCTGCTCCTCCTCCCAGGCCTCCTTGTGTGTCAGCTGGCTGCTTCCTGTGCTTTTGCACGTCCAGATCCTCTCACTGTATCTCTCCACACGTGCTTCATACTCCCTGCACAAGCAGCAGCTCAGGAAAACTGAATTTATGGAGTGGGAGGAATAACCAGAGAAGCACGAGACAACCCAACCTGTACTATCAGAGCACACAAAGGCTGAGGATTGCTACAGAGAAGTTTTGACCCTGCATCCACCATGGAGATGCTGTGTTAAATCCCCTAGGTTTTCAGACCAGGATGCACTGGAGCTTTCTGCAGAAGAAATGCCCATCCTGCTCCACAGGGGAAGATGGAAGGTGTCCTGGAACCCTCAGTTTGGCTGAATTGCAGAGGGGGAACATGCACAGCTGAATGTTTCATGGCATTGCTGAGCTACTTTTCAGCTTTTCCAGTCTGATTCATTGGAGAACAGCACAAACAGTATCGCAGGCACACATAGGAAATGTGGCATGGACTGCTGCTAAATGCCTGGCAGTAACATTGTGGAACTACTACTAATGGGTGTTATTACAAACTCCAGATGCAAATTACCAGTTTACCCAATACACCCTATCTTTTGAGGAAAAATCCCAAAAGCACTGAAAAGCACCACTAGGAAGGCCACCTTTCCTTTGGTTTCCAACAAGAGCAGCCTCCTGTGCTATCACACCACAACCTCTCCCTCCAACTACATTACTTGCTTCCCCCACATCACCCCCAGCCTCCAGGTGAAGTTGCTGAGGATTAACAGGCCCACAGGCCACAGCATCTGTGGTTCTGCTCTGCCCATTCCACTTAAGCAGCGATTAACTGTCAATGCAAAAAGATAGAAGCTACTTCAGACTTCCCATGGATAGAGCATGTACAGGCACAACTACCAGAGAACCCAACACAGTGTACAGCCATGCCAGCTCACCCTGTGGCAGCCTGCTTCAGTTGCCATATGCTTGCCAAAGGTAATTTAAATGGAGAAATAATAAGAGAGGCAAGAAAAGCATCTTCCTTCTTCTCCTTCAGCATGCTCTCAGGCAGCAGCAAGGCAAGCTCAGCATACAAAGCAGACTTGTAACAACCACAGCAGCTCAGTGCTCATGATGAGTCTCAACAGGGACACACAGATCCCTCCTGTGCAGGCAGAGCCACCAGCCCCAGTGACTTGCTCATCCTGTCTTGCACATGCTTTGTCTTAAAAAAATATTTTAGTGCAACTAACCCTTTTTTTTTTTAAATTCCTATTAGGAAGCCAAATTACAACTCCAACAAAACCAAGCTTCTTGGACGTTTATTCACAGGCCCAAGGTGCAGTCCAACCAGGGCCAGGAGCTACACTGTGGACATCGATACCCAGGCATGTCACAGCCACAGCAACTTGTGCTGTGCAAGCCAGGAACAGAGTCACCTCCAGCAGAGGCTCCCACTGCAGGCAGTATTCCCTCTGCCTGAAGGAGGCCTCAAAACCAAGGAGAAATCCCACAGCTTCCCAGTTTGAAGAAGTTCCATTTAAACATAAGAAAACACTTCTTTACAATGACAGTGACGGAGCCCTGGGACAGGCTGCCCAGGGAGGCTGTGGAGTCTCCAGCTCTGGAGATATTCCAAACCCACCTGGATGCAGCCCTGGGTAAAGTGCTCTGGGTGATCCTGCTGCAGTGGGACAGTTGGACTTACTGATCTCTAGACGTCCCTGCCTACTCTAACAATTCTATCATTTTGTTTGCCCTGCTTGTGGAGTCTCCTGCCCTCCAGCAGATGACCAGAGATCTGACAAGTCATCACCCTGCTAAGTGTAGAGCCCTGTAGAGCTCCTTCACCCTTCTTGAGCTTTCAGAGATGCTCAAGTTTGTTTAGACACAAGACACCTCTACAGTGCAGGGGTAGGAAGGGCTGTGGTTGTGCTGGGGCAGTGGCAAAGAGCAACCACCCCTTGCAGAGGAGCTCACCTAGCTGCACAGCACCACCAACCAGGCCAGAAGCGTGATTGTAACAAATGTTTATAGTGATATTGAACTAGGACAAGAAAAAAAAACAACACACAACACCTTCCCCCTCCCCACAAAAAAAAAAAAGTATAAAACCCCACAAGGGTCCTTAAACAAGAAACCAGGAGTCCTCGTTGTATTTAGAGCAATTAGCCACTTTTAGAATAACTTGATTGCAACCATAATAATGTTCCTTCCAATGGCTTTCCCACAAAAAGAAGAGCTAAAAGCAAATTCAACCCCAACACTAGACAGGAGTCTAAACACCCAACAAACAGTGGTCCTGAGGAAGCCCACCTTCCCTCTCCCCTCAGCTTTCCTTCTGCAAGTGCATGTCACCTAGATAGGGAGGACACAAGTGCTGAAGGAAAGGCACTTTCAAGGGTGCAAGACATTGCCTTAATAAACCTTCAGTGATTTAATTATAAACAAATATTTAAGATATATCTGGGAAATAAAATTATAGCCTATATTCCCCCCTGGATTTATCAACTTTTCTTTCCTTACAGCAAGGGGAACAAATAAATGCTGATCTCCAGTTGAAAATAATTGGAAGACAAGTGTTTTGGTTTTTTTCCTAAGACCATTTCTCATACTGACAGGAAGATGTTTCCCTAGGAATCTTCCCCTCCTTGTACATACCCATGAGAAAAAGCTTAAATCTCAGTGTATTACGACCCATATTTTTCACACCACCACCTTATTTAAAAGCAGCAGTTTCCCTGCTCCTCAGCTCTGCTTCTCAAATGCAATTTAATTCCACCTAGAGCTGGTGGGCTCATCAGACATTGACCCCAGCCATATCCTTATCCAGAGCTCAAGACCTGGGCCTACAGTGCCCACCCACCCTGCCTTGCTGCTCAGCCACAGGCTCCCAAGCCAGGTCCTGCTTTGAATTCCTGGGGCCAGCACAAAGCTAAAAATGATGTTTTTGCAAAGTTTACTCTAGCTCAAACTTTCCACTACACATCTGCTATTTGTCCTTTGCACTT